CCCTAAGCACATTCTTACTGGTTTATTGATTAAACATTGTGTAGGTTATTTTAAAATTATTTGGATGCAGAGAATCAGCTCATCTAGGCACACTGAGGGTCTGCTCTCCTCTGCTTCCCTACTCCACTGTGGAAAATGTGTTCTTTTTTTTTAATCCTGACCCGAGGATATTTTTTCCATTGCTTTTCAGAGAAATTGGAAGGGGGAAAGACAAGGAGAGACAGACAAAGACATGGAGGGGAGGGAGGGAGAAACATCGATGTGAGAGACACACATCACTCACTTGGGGCCGGGGATCAGAGCCTGCAACCAAGGTATGTTCCCTTGACTGGAATCAAACCTGAGACTCTTCGGTCTGCAGGCCGACACTCTAACCACTGAACCAAACTCGCCAGGGTGAAAATGTGTTCTTTTTTTTAATGGGGTTTTCTTTTTGTTTTTCTGACAAATGATATAGCTACAACTGGACCTCGACCTTTTGACTCAGTGTTGTGTTTTAGAGTTCTTTCTCTGTAAAGCCATGTTTGTCTGGATCCCCAGTCCACCCTCAGGTGTGATGATTTACTTGGAAGGCTCATGGGACTCTGCCTAGAGTCGTGACTGTGGCTCATTACAGTGAGAATATACACACCAGAGCAGCAGAGGGAAAGGCACATGGAACAAAATCCAGAGGCAGCTAGGTCATGTTTCCGAGTCCTTTCCCTGTGGTATCTCCCAGGATGTTCTTCATTTCTCCAGCATCAAATTAGGACAGCATGCTTAAAATGTCCACAGAGATGCAGATTATGGATTCAGTGCCCCAGTTTTCTATTAGGAGCTGGACACGTAGGTGGCCTCTGCCTAACACCGAAATTCCAAACTCCCAGAAGGAAAGCAGGTTTCAGCATAAGCCGTATTGCTTTTACACAGTTCCCCTAATCCGTTAGGGAATGATGGGGCTAACCTGGTCATGTTCTCCAGCCTGCTGTGTTAACTCGTCTGTGCACGTGGGGATCTTGAACTACTGAGTAGTACTCCCTGGTATGAATACATCCTGCTTTAACTTTTTCCTACTGATTTGCTTTTAGACTATTATTTTACAGTATTTATTTTTGAACAATTCTTTTTCTAGAGGCTTAGATTGGAATTGATGGGTCATAACATAGTGACATTTAAAAATTTAGTGTTAATAGATGCTTTCACATTGCTTACCAGAGGCCTGTGCTATCCATACTCCCAACAGCTGTTTACAGGAGTGCCCTTTGGAAGTGATTGCTTTTACTCATGTTCATATTGGGATGTAGGAAAAAGTGACCGGCAAACATCAGAAAGCACAGGACAGGAAGGACAGGTGTGTTTCTGTTGCCATTTGGACACTTGGCTTACCCATTCTCTGGGTCCTGAGACTCATGGTAGTGACACCCATCTCCGACTTCTTTGTCTCTAATTTCCCTCATTGTTACCTTTAGTTATTAGTCCGGAAGCTTTCGTTGTGGGGTGGGGTATTTTTTGGTCTTTTATTATGGAAAATTTCGAACATGCACAAAAATAGAACAGAACATTACCCACCTTCAGCGAATGCTCACATTTTGTCAATCTTGTTTTACTTTCCTCCTCTTTTTCTTTTTTGGGGGGAGGGCCCAGAGTAGTGAAAACAAATCCTAGACATTATAGTGTCTAAAATTTTGTACTAATTTATAGAAATGCATACTTTGCATACATTTAAAAAAATCTTAATTGCCCTTAATACTTAGTCCAGTTGTGAGGTTTACTCTGATGTTTATAATTTGAAAGGGTATTTTCCTCATATCTTGTATAAACTTATACAAGACAACTTAAACATACAGACAACTTAAAAATATGGATAACATTCACAGTTCTGCAACTTGCTTTTTTCATTTAATAATAGGTTAGGACCATTCCTTCAAATTAATAACCAGATGAACTCCTTTTCAATACAATATGCTATCTATGATGTGACAGACATTTCTATATGGATGGACATTCAGTGTTTTTCTGCTCTTCGGTTCTTGTGAACCTTGCAGTGAACTTTCCTATGCATATGGCTTCATGCACTAGCACTATATTATTATAGGACACATGCTGACGAATGGGTATCTGGTTAGAATGTGTCTGACTTTAATTGTTAAAGTTATTACTGCAATACTTTCCAAGAAGTTTAGGAATTTTCTACCAGCAATATAAGAGAGAACCTCTTAAATTTCATTCTTGCTAGCATTGGATATTATTACTCTTCAACATTTTTGCCAGTTAAAAATAGTAAAAAAAAAAAAAAAAAAAGTGGCATAGCATTGTAGCTTTTGTTTGCCTTATTAGAAAGGAAACCCAGCAACTTATTTTAAACATTGAGTTGGTTTTAGACTAGCAAATGCAAGTTTGGTTCAATACTAGAAAATCCATCAATACAATTAATTATATAAGCAATCAAAAGTCAAAAATCAGCCTGGCCAGCATTGCCCAGTGGTTGCGCATCGGCCCAGGAACTGGGAGGTCGTGGTTCAATTCCTGGTCAGGGCACCTGTCTGGGTTGCGCGCTCGATCTCCAGCGGGGGTGTGCAGGAGGCAGCCGATCAATGACTCTCTCTCATCATTGATGCTTCTATCTCTCCTCTCCCTTCCGCTCTCTGAAATCAATAAAAACATATATATTTTTTTAAAGTAAAAAATCATGTAACCAATATGATTTATATAGTGAGATCTCTCGTCCCCAGTCCACCTCTTTCCTCCTGCTCCCTCCCCCACAATCACTTAGTTTCTTTGCTGTTTTTCAGGGTCATTTTTATACATATACAGACAACTATGAATACATACTCTCTTTCTTGCTTTTTACACAAATGGTAGCGTACTGGGTACTCTGTCATGCACCTTGCATTTTTCCTGATGAGGTTTTTGAAAGACATTTTTGCTCATTTCTGATAGCTTTCTTAGATACCTTCTATTTCTTATTTAAAAATAAACTATTGAATTCCTCAAATGTGGGACCTTAGAGCTTAGCTATTCACTAGTTGTGGCCTAGTTGTTTCTGCCACATCACCCTCCCACACACATTCACAAAATAAAAAATACTGGAATTGCTGTCTTAAAGACCACCAGTGCCTGTTCCCTCTTGTCAAAACCAGTGGCTGTTCAGTCTTGGCCTTTGGTTCTTTTGCTGCTCTTGCCCCTGATCACACCCCTGTGCCTCTTAGGACCCTAATGCTTTGTGTTTTCACAGTACATTCCATTATGTGTTCTTGTAAAAGGTGGAAGGAAATAAAAGGATTGTGGATGTGCTGAAGGAAAAGGGTTGGTTCTCTGTGGCTCCTGGAGGGAGCCACTTTTGCAGATTTCCCCCGTTTTCCACCCTTTGCCCAACTATGCCCAGCCCCCCTTGGCCCTCACCGTACTGTTGTCTTTGTCTGCAGGCTATATATATATGTTCTTTATTTATTGCTACTTATTTACTGCCATTTTTTCTTCACATGTTTTCCTTAATTTATCTTCTTAAAGCAGTCCCTTTATCATTTCCTGCAATACTGGGTTAGTGGTAATGTACTCCTTTAGCCTTTTTTTAAATCCAGGAACCTCTTTATTCCACCTTCAATTTTAAATGATAGCTTTGATGGATAGAGTAGTCTCGAGTTCAGGTTCTTGCTTTTCATTACTTTTGTATATTTCATGCCAATCCCTTCTGGCCTAAAGTGTTTTGTTGAGAAATCAGCTGACATTCTAATGGGTGCTCCCTTGTAGGTAACTTGCTATCTCCCTCTTGCTGCCTTGAAGAGTCTCACATTTGTCATTTGAATTATAACGTGTCTTGCAGTGGGTCTATTGGCTCATCTTGATTGGAACTCTGTGCTTCCTGAACTTGTGTGATTTTTTTTTTTTTTTTTCCTTCAACAGGTTCGAGAAATTTTCTGTCGTTATTTCTTTAAACAGGTTTTTTATTTCTTGCTCACTTCTTATGTCACCCCTGTGACGCAGATGTTGTTACGTTTCATGTTGTCTGAAAGTTCCTGTAAACTATCCTCCTGTTTTTAAAATTCTTTTTGCTGCTCTAATTGGGTGTTTTTTCTATCTTGTCTTCCAAATCGCAGATTTGACCCTCTGCTTCATCCAGCCTGCGTTAATGCCTCCCAGTGTGTTCTTGGTGTCAGATACGGCGTTCATTTCTGACTCTTTCTTATTCATGTTTTCTGTCTCTTTCATGCTGATGTAGTTCCCACTAAGTTTCTTGTAGTTCTCACTAAAGTTTCTTGATCATCCTTGTAACCCTTACTCTGAACTCTACATCTGATAAGTTGCTAGCCTCCATTTCATTTAGCTCTTTTTCTGGGGGGCCTTCCTTTTCTTTCATTTGGGGGTTGTTTCTTTGTCTCAACATTTTAGCTGTCTCTTTGTGTTTGTTTCTATGTATTAGGTAGAAGTGCCGTGACGCCCAGTCCTTCTGGGTGGCCTTATGCGGCAGGTGTCGCGTGGAGCCCAAGGGTGCGGTCTCTTCGATTCCTGCGCTGGATGCTCTAGGAATGTCCGTTGTGTGGGTTATTTGTCTCCCCTCTCCTGTAATTGGGTCTTGATTGTATTGTCCCGTTCGTGGGTGGGATCTCCCCCCCGGCTGGCTGGCTGTGAGGCTCAACCCCGACCGGGTCGCGCAGCTGATGTACAGGTGCTGACAGAGCAACAGAAACGAGGGACAAGTCAGAAACTTACAAAAAGCAACAGCAGCAGAAACAACCACAGAAGAAAAGAGAAATTAGGAAAGGGAAAAGAGGGTGCTAGTCAGAAAAGTACAGGAAAGAAAAAGTATGAGAATAAAAAAGGGGAAGGGAAAAGTATGAAAGGAAAGAAGGGAGAGGAAAGAACAAGGTGGTGGGAGAAGGGAGCTGTACAGAGAAGAGAGGAAGTTATGAAAGGGAAAAGAGAGAAGACGAAAAACAGACAGAGTAAGAGATGGGGGGAAAAAGAGGAAAAATAATAAACGATAAAAATAAAGAAAGTAATGGGGAAAGAATGAAAGCAAAGTGGCGTTTCCGCCCCAGCAGGCTTAGTGCCCGCGGGAGCTCCCTCTGTCCTGCTCTCACGTTGACTGAGGCCGACTGTCCGGGCGCCGGTCCTGCGCCTCCTGGGAGGTACTTTGGTGCTGGCTGCTTTCAGAAGCTGTCCACTTTTTGGCTCTTAGGACCCTTTGCACAGCTCCCAGCGATCACTGTGTGTGGCTGCCTCCAGGGGCCTTGGCTGTGCACGGAGGGGCCAAGGCAGGCTTGTTAGCAGGGCCGGGGAGACCATGACTCTGAGAAGCAGATCTGAATCTTGACTCCACCCTGCACTAGCTATAGAACTTCGGACAAGTCACTTAACCTTTTTGAGGTTCAGTTTTTTAAAAAGTGATGAATAAATGAGAAAATATCCCTAAAGTACCCACATGGTCACCAACGCTAATCACTGAGGGCTTTGTTCTCATTCCTGGGCCCAGAACCCGCAGGTTTTCAGGTCCCTTCTTCTGACCTTCAGGGGAGGAACAGTTGCTGCCTGGAACCTTGTCTTTGTAAAGCATGTGTCAAATAGGATGGATCACTTAGGCCTCTCAGGTCCGTCTACCTTACTCCTTTTATAGACACTGTAAATAATAGAGCCAGATGTCTTAAATGAATCTCAGCAGGCATTTAAGTCCTGAAGGCTGAAGTGTTTCGGCTCAGGTAGAATATTTGTGTATATTTTTCCAGTTGGCTTTCTGATGGAGATGTGGGGAAAGTGGTTCATTGGCCTTGATGATGAAACTTTTATCCCTGTGCTTACATATCAGCTGATATTGTAGTATTTCCTTTTAAGTACTAAAGAGACCATTGTTCGCCAGGGAAACACTTGCTTAACCTCATCAAAAAGCTTTAAAAATGGAGTTTGAGAAGGGAGGAAAAAATTGCAGATAGATGGTAAGGTAACATCCTATGGAGTAAAATTAGAGACACAGAAGAATATTAGAGAAGGGTGTGCCTATGAACCCCAGGACCCAGAGCGCGAGTGCTGAGGACGCCTGACCTTTCTACATAATAAATGCTTGGAGTATCTTGAGAAAAGTAGAATAAATGCAGTTTTTGGGTTGCCACTGAGAATTGGTGAGAGGAGTTCATGACTGGGCATTTGAATGCTTCCTGCAGGCACTGTGCTGAGTAGCTGGTCCTCGTTAATTCTTATGAAAGGGGTAGGAAGTAGATGTGGACTGCAGTGTACCACAGAAACTGAGACTGAAGATGGTCAGGCGTTTAGAGCTAGTCATCCGCTTTGATGGGTAACAGACACTGAAGTAACTTAATTACCTTTGCTTCCTAACCATATTCTTCCTCTCGTGTGCTGTGGCTGCTTTGGTCCCTGACTTTCCAGGATGACAGTGAGAGTGAGGGAGTCGTGGTTACAGTTGGCACCAATATGTTCTGCTACTCTTGTTAGCCGCGTGACAGTTCTGCTCGGGACTAATGACAACGAAATGTAACAAGTAGTCACCCTCTTCCTCCAACGTGTGAGTGATCTTAGCCATCACCTTTCACTGTACCAAGTGACCACTGGTCGTACGCAGTGTCGCTCGTTCAGCTGGCCACTGTCTCCTCCATCCGCACAGCCAGCTGGAGTTTCGTGTAATCTCACCTCAGGTCATCACAGCACCCCTTCGAGTTTCTTATGTTATTTGCCTCTCTCATCTTAGCTTCTAGCTCACGTCCCTTGAATCTCTCCTTGTCTGTCTGATGCTCATAACCTCCCCTCTGAAAAGCTTCCTCAGGGCAGAGTTTAGGTGCTTTCTCTTTGTGTGTTCATTTTCTTTAGGTATCTGATGATTTTTGGTTGTCTGTTGATATTATGAATGAAGGTTTAGGTTCTAGACTGTATGGCAGTTAATGTAGATAACTGGAGTGGGTTTCCCTTAACTTTGCTTAGCGTTTATTACCCTGTGGGCTCCTCCCTCACACCGGGGAGCTGATGCTGAGCTCTGTGTGTGGGGGTGTGGTTGGCAGGCTTCACTTGAGGGGAGTGGCAGTAGTTTTCAATAAGAAGATTTAGTTTCTTTTAAAATTTTTAAACACCTTTTATTTGTCAGGTGCCACACTGGGAGCTGGAATACATCTTTACTCAGTAAAGTCTTAATTTAGTATGTTTAAAATTTGTGGTTTAGAGTCTTTAGAAAGCGTTTCTTTGGTTTTAGGCTGGATTCAAATGCGGCTGCATCGTTAGCCGTGCAGGCATGGGAATAGAAAGTGCGTGGGGGGAGTTGCGTGGCCTTTAGAGTCCTTAGGCAGTTCTGCTCCGTTCCAATTTCTGCTCTCCCTGCTCTGATCTTGGAGCCTCTCTAGAGTGTCACCAGAGGATGGCACAGACATTCATTTAGGACTTTTTTGTTTGTTCTTGGGTTCGAGCTTCTTTTGCTGTTGTTTAGTTCTCAGCTCTGAATAGATTTATTATCTTTCCCTTATCATTTCAGTAAGGTAGAATGGAAAGGAAGGGGCAGACACATTTGCCCAGTCTGTCATTTTGAAATCCTGAGCCAGAGGTTCTTTTGGCAAGTTTGCGTATTTGTGATTTTAAGAATTGAAACTAGCTTATTTAATGAATGCATTATTGTTTCTCCAGTATTTATAGAATAGTTGGAATGCTTATAGAATGTGAAATTATTGTAATGCTGAAATACATCATCTATATATGAATAACTTATGTTCTAAAGATAGCTATAAAGCTCTTAAGAGCAAGCACAGCCACAGATACCCCAGATACTGGGGCAGGAGAGGATCGTGGGGTGGTTCCAGGCATTGCCATTAACTACTAATAATTGACAGTCGGGGCCAGAAGCAAGGTAACTGCCTCACGTGATGATGTTTCCATTCTAGAGTTGTTTCCTGATGTAACGTTTGCTAATTTTAGGTTGTCTTCCTTGGTATGACATTAAGGTAAAAGCTCTACTGCATGTGGCTTACTGAAGAAGGTACTGTATCCTGGCTGTCTAGTTAGACTTAGGCTGCAATTTGTGTATATTTCAGTGAATGATAAAAGAATAATTTGCCATGTCTTCTAATAGAGCGAAAATGAATTTGTATGCAACATTGTTTGTACTTCTTAATACACTGTGGGAAAGTTAATTGCAACTGTATGGTTCAGGGATTTAGTGCAAGAAGAAGAACAGTTGATGGAAGAAAAGAAAAAGAGAAAAGACGACAAGAAAAAGAAGGAAGCTGCTCAAAAGAAGGTAGTATACGTACAAACTTTCTATACGCCGCTTATCACCTTTGGATGTAGAACTCTTCTTACTGCACTTTTAAAGCACTTGATTGAATGTTTAAACTTCAGTGGAGTTTCGTTTTACCTTTTAATGTCTTTGTGCATATATAGTAACTTGATAGATGCATACAATTTAATTTTAAGATATAGTTATTTAATCTTGCCAGTAGCTTTTTAAAGGTAAGTGCTTTATATAGGCCTCTCTCTTTCAATTAGCTGTTGCAAGGTTTTCATAATCCATCACTTTGTAAGTGAGAAGTGTGTGGAATTGGTAGCTACATAGAGGTGTTTGAAACCCGGCCCTCCCGTATGGCATGCAGGGCAGTGTGGCTGTACACTTTAGCCTCTCTAGGCCTTAAAAGTTTTCTTATGTTTTGTAAAATGAGAAATGAAAGGAGGTAATGTATTACATACACATACTAATACACAATGGAAAAATAAAGTAATACAGGAATGTGTAATAAAGGAAACAGTAATGCACATAATAGGAAATAAAATGTCAATTTCCTTTTCATTTTTTATTTAGTATCTGGACTGATTTTTAAAATTTGCAGTTTACGTCAGGATATTTTAAATAAATCTAAGTTGTTGCAAAACCTAGAGAGGTACATCGTCAGAAACTAATTAAAGCAATCCAAATAGCAAAAAATAAGAGGTTATGTTCATAATTACAAAAATGTTTACAAATTAATACTAAAGGCTCATGGCGGCTAACTAAGCTGACTCTCATTTACAGCATCAAGGATTCAAGGCTCTTAATGTGTTCTAAAAGACCCTATGAAATTACTGTTCCATTTCTGTGTTCTAATGAAAAATTATGACTTTAATTTTTGATACTTATGTAGCTCTTGTGCCAGGGACTGTGCTAGGAACTGGATATATACTACAGCAATGCAGCTCCACATTATGTCATAGGGAAAACATAGGATGCAGAACTGTGGTAGGTAGGGGACTGTTAAAGCAAAGAGACATGCTTAACTCGGCCAGAAATGGGGCAGGGGACAGGGGTGTATTTTTAGAATAGAAATTAGCCAGGTGAAGAAGGAGCAGAATACAAAAGGGTCCCAAGCAGACCGGCCTCAGAGGAAAACGTGCATGGCCTCCTGGGCAAGTATGGGTTTTGACGGGGAGGGAGCTGAGGGTAGAAGTGCTGGGATGAGACTGGGAGGTTGGTGGTAGCTGTCAGCTCTTCTAGGGGATTGGGCCATTGAGTTTACCTTGGAAAATTGTAGAATTGGATTGGAAGGGGTGGAAACTAGAAGCTGAGATGTAGTGAAGGGACTATTTTTTAAAAATCCACAGAAGTTTTTGAAAAGATAGGAAGAGAGTGCAACCTAGCCTTACTCTTAGGTTCCAGATTGAATGACTAAGTACATTTTGGGGGCAGTTATCCAGGTTAGGGGACACACAGAACTGGTCCTCAAATAATGTGTTGATGAGATGTAGGAATTCAACTCGTTTATATCACTTAGCCTGTGGTAAACGGGTTTCATTATACTCCTTTCCCCGGAGTTCCAAGAACCTATCCAGGACATTAAGTAAGGGCTTACTGTAACTCAGTTCTGGACGTGCTGGCCAGCTGGTCCTGGGGAGGGGAGAGCACTGTGGAGGAGAGTTAAAATTGGTGTGATGGTGACCCCCGTCATTGGCCTTTGGTTGCTCTCAGGAGTGAGTGGAAAGAGATGCATCAGTAATTGTCCTAGTTAGGGTTTGGAATAGGTTTCTAGGACAGGAATCCCTGCTTTTTGAAAGTTCATGTTACACCACTTTGCTTTCATGAAAACCTACGTTAGTAGTGGAGTTTTGGCACTGATATCTGACGATGCCTTAGGCCTCTGTCAGAGCCTGTGATACAGGATGGTATTTGCAGTCTGATCAGTCTTTGCTCGGGATTTGTTATGAAAAAGTTATGTCCCTTGTAAGTCCTAAATTGGGGGAAGGCTTATCAGGCTCTCTTCCATGGTGCGAAGGCCATTTACTTAATGAAAAGAACTTATAAGAACTTAAGAGAGTCATTAAGGAAGATGCTCCAGTACACTTTGTGTAGAATCGGTGGTTTCTCAAGCACCCCACCAGTGCTGACCCTGCTTCTGAGGGATCTTACGATTCAGGTGGTGGGTCAGGGTGTAGGCGAGGCGGTCAGAGGAGAGGCCTAAGGCACTATATGACGAAGCAGGTTCACTCGGGGCGTACTCAGTGAGGAAATTCTAAGGAAGGAGGTTCACTGGACTTCCTTTGAATGTTGTGCTTGTAAAACATCTGAGTATAATTTTTAAGTTGTAACATACAAGGTATGGCTCTAGTTGTTAAAGTTTATGTTTTTTCATATCCAATCTCTAAATCACCAAGTCAGTGTCTTTAAAACATAAATGGTGATTTTTGTGCCATTTGGCTTCTCATCGGACCTGAAATGACAGCTTTTCATATTCTTTCCCACTCTATCCCTGCCTCACCTTATGGTTCTAGTCTCCCATCTCAACTGTGTCCTACTAGGACCATCATAAGAGGCTTAGAGATATGGGAGTGCTTCCTTCTTTTACCAGACCTTTAGCATTGGTAGGGTATTCTGTATGTCCCATAGACACAGTAATACCTAGTCACTGAACACGTTAATACCTCTAATGTTAAGTTTTGTAGGCTAGACTGCCACTGTGAGATTGTTCGAATAACCAGCTTTCAGCTGAATTTAAATACAACCTGTTGGGAAACTGAGGACAGCTGGTATTTCTGTAGGCTATTACCAAATAGCTTTTAAAAAACAAACAAAAATTCTCAAGGTGGCACACGTAAAAAGCCCATATGAAAGATTGTGAGTCATGGGCGTTTTGAGACAAATTTCCTTGAGCTTGTCTGTTGTAGGAGCAAGCAGGTGTATCCAGGTAGGCGACAGATACCTACATAAGCCAGGTAGGCAGGCCCATTATATAAATGTTGGAACATAAACTCACTAAAGGAAAAACAATCTGCCTGTTTCATGTAATCTGTATACACTTTAAAAATAAAATCTACGTATTTCATTTCTGAAAAAGACTTCAGATACTCTCTGTTCTAATCCATTTGTATTATATATAAGGAACCCAAGCATTATAATTCAGTGAAGTGCCTAACCGTGGTTTCATCAGGGTGATGGATCCGGGAATAGAATGAAACCTTCTGCTTCCCAGCTAGTACTTCTCCAGAACTCGGTGTCATGGCTTTTTCCTTTCCATACAGAGCCTTCTTACACGTTTGCTTTATTTTCACAGTCTAAAGGCGAACCTTAAAGCTGGAAATAATACATTGTGTCATTTTTATAAGGGATTTAAAGGCTCTTTATGCCATGGATATAGAAAACATGGTCTCTAGTAGCCACTGTAGTCTTTTAAAGAAATTTAACTTCAGACCACAGGTTATATTTTTATTTTAAATAAAAAACCAGATGACACAACTCCTTACATAAACAGACACCAACAAGGCTCACTACAGTGTTTTTATTATAGTTTTTTCTTATTCTGTCTATTATTTAAATATAAATTTATTTAAATTCCTCTTTAAAGAAATGTTACACAAAAATTACATGATTTTTAAAATTTTTCAGCCCTAGTACATTTCCATTAATAGAGATGGCTTTGGTTAAAAAATTTTTTTCAAAAGCCTGTTTCACATCTAAGAATCATGGCTATTATCTTCAGATTCTAAGACTTAGAAAATAATTTGACATAGCTTTGGGAATATAGTTTCTGTACTTAAAAGGGGGGAAACAGTAGTAGCAATAAGTTGTTACCATAGATTTATATCCAGGTTCTGTTTTTAGAAGAAATTTCTAGAAGGAATCTTGAGGAAATGCAGTGGGGAGGGAAAAGGTTGAGAAATGGGTTAATTATAGCGGGGATAATTTAGTATAACCTTTTCTTTAAGCTTGTAATTGTAGTTCCTAGAAAGCATTTAATTGTTGAGGGCTAGAGGGAAGCAACAATACAAATTGGGATCTTTTTTTTTTAATCGAGACAGTTTTGTTCCTGTGTTACAAGCTGAAGGGACTTTCAGATGTGCTCAATTTGAGTTTGAGACTTCATTCTCTTTTGGAAATTTTAGTGTCTACTCTTCATGTCTCTCAAAGACTATTTTGTTCTGAGAAGAGGGATCACATTCAGCAGTCCAAGTAGCATTTTGTTTGTTTGTTTTCCAGTAAGCCCGGTGGCAGTATAACCAGGTAACCAGGCCTGGAGCGTTACACTCATCTAGGGTGTCCCCTTATGGTCCTGCCCCTTATTTTAGATTTCTACAGACATGTGCTGCATAATGAGGCTTGGGTCAAGGGCTGGGTGCATATACAACAGTGGTCCCATATAATTAGAATGGAGCTGGAAAAGTCCTGTCTCCTAGGGACATAGTTGTAGCATGGTGCATTACACAAAGACCATTGTATTATAGCTGCCTACAGTGTTCAGAACAAGTAGCATGTGGTATAGGTTTGTAGCCTAGAAGCTATGGGGGAACGGAATTTTTCACCCCAAAATACATCTCTTTGGCATAAGGATTATTTTAGGCTGGTTAATTTTAAGAAAGAGCAGATGTGGGAGAAGCTCTGAAAACCAAGTAAAGTTACCCTGTGTGACAGACATTTACATTGTAAAGATCTCCCTTTGTCAGGGTGTCTCCCTCCCTGTACCATGGGGAGGGGGTGACCTTATCTCTAGGAACTCTTACCAGTTCAGAAGGTGATGACAGATCTGCATAACCACCTGACCCTGGTTTACTGTGCTTTTCCTGGAACCTCCATCACTGACTCCCACGAACCCCAGCATCTTCCATCTTTAGCTGAAGATGGTATTTAAGGTGGTGGGTTCAGCTGTTTTGGTGAGATCTAGTTTTCCTGGGTCTCTCTCATATATACAGGAGGAATATATGTCGTTGAACTATTTTGTTTTTCTTCTGTTAATCTGTCATTTATTACAGATGTCTCAGTTAGGAACCCAGAGGGTAGAGGGAGAGTTGTTTGCCCTCTCCTGCGGCACAGCAAGCTGTACCACACCTGCACACGCCTGGGTGTGCAGAGGTTGTGCCGTCTAGGTTTGGGTAGGTCCTCTGGGGTCGCACAGCCATGTCATCCCCGATGCAGCACCCAGAACGGTCCCCATTGCTAAGCAGCATGTGACTATTCTCTTTTTCCTTTTTTCTTTTAAAACTCATTTTAATTCAGCAGATCTGGGTTCTAGACTGGGTGCTGCTTGCTAAGAAATCATAGAAAAGTTCCCTTACCACTAATTGCCTCATTTAAAACAGGTGAGCTGAACTATTATTTTCTTATTCCTGGCACTGTTAAGACATTGTAGATGACTAGAAAGAGAAACAAGCAAGACACTGGGCACTGGGAATGAGTTTGAGTCAGGTTATTTGCAAATGTGAGAGAAAGGAATGAGCCAGAGCACAGGCAGGGGGCTGGTAGCAGCAAGAGCTGCTGGTGGCTCTCAGATGTTCCCTGCGTGCCAGACACTGTCCTGAGCACTGTACGTGAGTCAGACCATTTTACCCTCACTATCACGCTAGGTGGGCGTTTTTGTTCTTGTCTTATAGATGAGGAAACCAAGCTTTAGAGGAGTTAACTAATTTTGACCAAGGTCACAGTGTATGAATGGTAGAGCCAGGACTCAGAGCCAGGCAGTCTAGCTTCAGGCTCTGACCTCTTACCCGCCTAGTGTGCTTAGGGATGGAGGAGCTAGGACCAGTGGTGCAGAGCCCAGCGGTGAGAAGACACCCAGCATGCTGTGTCTGCCACCTGCCCAATGCCTTCATTAATTAATTGAGGTGATTGTGATAATTGCTTGTGGAATCACAGCTCAGGTTTGTTTGTTTGTTCCTATGGTTAAGGGGAAAAAATGTATTCAAAATGGAAATCATCCTGCTTCTAGACTTTTCAGAATTCTTTAATTCTGTTACACAAGAGGATCTACGTAACAGTACCTCACATTTGAATAGTTTTTCCACTAAAGATGTTTTTATATTTTACTTAAGCCTTATAATAGCCCTGAAAGGCAAGCAGTACCAATTTCCCGCCTTATATTTAAGGAATTAGGAAGCTGAGACTCAGAAAGTTTAAATTACCTTGTCATTTAAAAATCAAAAAGAAACAGTTGAAGTTAATTTTAATATATTCTGTGTAATCTAATATGTAACCAAAATATTACTATTTTAACGTCTAATCAGTATAAAATATTAATGAGCTAGTTCTCTTTTTAAATACTAAATAATAGAAATCTGCTATGTGTTTTATACATATGAATTTGGACTAGCTGTTTTTTAGTGGTCAGCAGCCACATATGAATAGTGGATACCATTTTAAATGGTGCAGGCAAACACTCTTAAATAGTTTGAGTAATATACTAGGTCCTGGACCAACCCACAAAAATCTATTTAAAGAAGTGGAACTCTCAGTCCATTTTCTCTCGTCAGTTAGGAGCTGTTGGATTCTAGTGCTTACATTTCTTCCCCATGTTAGTCAGTGTGCTGATGGGCAGGCACCTTCAGGTCTCTGGTGCCAATCTCAGTAGATGACAGCAAACTGAAGGAGATGGATCTTTATTCTGAAGCAAAATGGAGTTTTTCTAAAGGAGTTGCACAGTAGGTATCGTTTATGTTGCAAGGCCTAGAGGAGTAAGACTGTGTATCTTGGAGTTTAGTAATGTGGTCATGGTTCTAACTTAGTTTCCTTTGGAAGTAAACTGCGGAAGGGATGGGAGAGTTTTAAAAGAAAAGATTTTCAACTTGCAAAATAATTTTTATGCTAATGTTTTAGCTTCTGATTATGTATGTTATTGTTTGATGTGACACTTTTGTATTTCCAAGTATTTAGACTGTTTTACTACTGTTAGATTTTTAAAACAATTTCTCCAGAAATAAATTAAGTACTCAAGCTAGTTGATTGGTCTTTTGCCATTTTCTTTCCATCAATTTTTAAAAAATACTTGATCCATAGAAAGTAAAAGATGGGCTTCCATTATTTAACGTATCACTAGTGCTCTAAAACTTGGTAAAGCACGTCAAAGCCTGGACTGACTCGCTCTCCGGGGAAAGATTAATTTTGGTGTGTCTTCAATATTAAGGTAATTGCCATACGTTCTTTACCGTATAGCTCTATAATGATATAATTATATATTGGTATTTTTGTTAACAATAATTTTATATGACTAAGCAAAATGAATTCTCAAGCCCCATGGCAGGCAGTTAAGAAATGTTTTATCTTCATTTAGAAACAATTCCTGGTTATCAGTTACAATTATTCAATCTTTCCTCGATTCCCTGACTATCCTTGTAGCTTTTATTTTTAGGACTCCCATACAATTGGTCTTAATAAAAAAGTTGATTTTTGCTGTGGCCTTTGTCTATAATCAGTTCTCTCTTTTTGAGGCACCGTGAGGCAGCCCTCCTGTGCCCCAGCCCCTCTCTCTGTTGTGTCACAGACAGTGGAAGTAGGGGCCGGCATGGTAAGCAGGGCTCGTGTCCGTGTGAGTTTACCTTCTGAGCATGGTAATTTTAATGAATTGTCAGATATGTCAGAAGTGACATATGTTTGAAAAATTTTCCCAATCAAAAATACTTAAAAGTTAATTATGTTTAACTGTAATAGCAGCCTAATTACTACTAATTTGGTTAAAGTGCTTATCTTCAGCTTTTCTTTCAGAAAACTTAATTCATTTTTATCATTTGAAACAATTTTTGAAGCCATTTAAACATGTGCAGAACTCATTAGATCCATTAATGAAAGGTGACGATTATATAAAAATCATTTAAAAACTAAGTGCAGTTCCATTTTTTATTGTACATTGTCATAGTGTCTTTTCTGCATTGTGTCTACAGAAACATTTAAAAAAAATTTTATTACGCATTAATCAGACAATTGGGCACACCTGTGGGAAAAGCATGCTTTCTTTGCATATCTTTTCCTGTATATTCATCTAAATGACAAATTCCTTATTTAATGAAAGTGTATATGTCTTATATAATAGTAATCTGTAAGCATTTTATCATAACAACTCATTTCTTTCAGTTTCATATTTACATTGTTTTTTGTTTGTTTGTTTTTATTTTAGGCCACTGAACAAAAAATCAAAGGTACGTTTAAAGCTATTTTTTATTCTTTTTTTTTTTTTTTTTTTTCGTTAAAGCAAGGTTGTTGATGTGCGTTTTCATTCACCTCTGGGGTGAGGGAGAGGTGAGAATAAGAGAGTCAGAGGGGCGGGGACAGGCTTCTGCAGGGGTCCATGCTTTCTCCTGGTGGATATGACACTTCTAGAATGGACTGCCTCAGGGCCTATTTTGCAACTGTCTCTGAAGATGAACACCGCTTCCTAACAGACTCCCTTGATCTAAGTATGTGAGCGCAGGTACCTTAAGTCTTCATCAGAAGTCTCATCTGGGCTCCTCTGGGACTCACCCCACCCCGTGCTTTATTTCTTGTTCTCTGTGTACATTGTGCCCCACTCCTTCCTGTAGGCAGACATAACATCCACTCTGTGTTATTACTGAGGATAGTAGATTGCTAACCCTGTGGTCATTGTACCAAGATGAACAGCTCCCAGTACACAGCAAGCAAAAGACTTCAGGGAGGTAAGGTAACAGGAACTAAATTCCTCTCAGGTCTTATCTCAGGAATTTTTCACCCTCCCAGGAGTTGAAAACCTGGCAATGAAATGTGTAGGGCTCTTAGATGCTGAACTTGTTAGGCCTAAAGATTGTGGATTTTTACTTTGGAGCTGTATCAAAAGTATGATGTGTGCATTTGGTTGATACACAGTACTGCCCATTTTAATTTGAGGTCAGCGTTGGTGAAGGTAACATTTATTACGTACAGTTGTGTAAGGGTAAAAAAAACAGTCATAGCCTCTCCTTTACTGGAGAGAGTGGCAGTAGGGCACACCCAGACACAGTATAGTGTGCTGTGATTTGGTTAAAGTAAGGGATGCCTGAGTTGTCCTGGAGCTTGGGGGGGGTGATAATTAGCTTGACTCAGTGGGCTAAGAAAGGCCTCCCTGAGGAAGACCTTGAGATTCTGAATCTTAAAAGATGAAACAGCCAGTCCAAGAAAAAAGGAATGAAACGGCAGAGGGATCAGCATGGGGAAGGCACAGAGATAGGCAATATGTTACATGCAGTGGCCGAATTTCTAGAATATTACTTACCCAGTGATAAGTGGACAGCTTGGAAGCGTTTCTCTGAAGAGATAGGTAGGGGTCAGGTAAACGATGGCCTCATCTATGTGCACCAAGGAGGTAGGACTTTTATTTTATAGGCAGCTGGGAGCCCCTGGAAAGTTTAAGCAGAGAGGGGACGTGGTTGGGTTTTTGGGTTCCTCCTTTTAAAGCTTTCAGTCACTGTGTATGGAAAGTGTTGGCTGAAAGATGGAGCTGAGGAAAAGAAAGGCACCTTGAGCAGAGGAGGCAGGTGGACAAGAAGAGGGAATATTGAGAGAGTGACTGTAGGGGTGTTGGGAAGGTGCACAACATAGGCCTGGAGGTGGGCAGACATGTGCTGACACTGGTTAGAGTGGGGAGCCAGCAAAAGTTTCTGCATTTAGAGGTCGTGGTTATGAGCTCACTTAGGAGCATTTCTTTGTGAGTCGTGTTGTGCGTCACCAGTGGAAGCAGCACCAGGGAGGGTAGAAAGGAGTAGGAAGGGTGGTAAAGATTTCCTCGGAGGTCTCGGCAGCAGGGTTGAAGGTGGATGGCAGGTGTGGGAGGGGTAGTCAGCTTGTGGGATCAGGAGAGGGACTGAAGTGATAGGTGGCTTTGAACCTGGATGTCTGAGAATGTTGCAGGGAGGTAGAATGATGCTGGGAGGAACTTCACATTAATTTAGTAGGACCGTGAGCAGTTTCTTTTCTCAACACGCTCCCCTGTTCAGGAATGTTATGTTGCCCCATGCTCTCTGCTTCAAGACCAGACTCCTCTGGTGGCCCTCAGTGCTCTTCAGTCTGACCTCGCGTGGTCCACCCAGCCTGTTTCCATCACTCCCCTCCATTTCTCAGAGCAGTCTGCTCTCTTCCATGTTTATTCCTATTTCTGTTTTTTGATCCAGTTTCTCAGCCAAGGATGCCTTTCAGCCTCTCTCACCCTCTCAGCTTATCTTCCAGTGGATTGCCCCAGCTGCCATTGGCCCCTCCTTTTCTGATTTCTTAGGGTGTGATGATGTATCTTAACTTTGGGGCACTTGATTATATTCTGTTTTAGATTTTTGACTGGCTTTCCATGGATATTTGTTTCTCCAATATAACCTTTGAGTACCTATTGTTTATATCCTTTCCAAATGTAAGGCATCCTTTTAGAGCAGGGGTGGGGAACCTTTTTTCTGCCAAAGGCCATTTGGATATTTATAACATCATCCGAGGGCCATACAAAATTATCAACTTAAATAGCTATGAAAAAAGCTCCTAGATTCATTGAATTCTGAGTCCAGCCTGCAGTTGCCTTGGCAGGGCCAGAACCAGTGATTTCATGGGCTGTTCCCCACCCCTGCTTTAGCTCCATACATCAAATATGAACAGATTTGAATCTTCTGAGAATGTTAGGCTTCGGAACGCATTGTGTTGCTCGCCCGCTCTGTTACTCCTCTTTCCTTTAATGGCAGCTCCTTTCGTAATTGGTCCTGTTCATTCCGATCCATGGAAGTGCATTGCTGACCTCTGTGCTGTGTGTAATAGCCTGTGGTGCGTATGGTTTGGGGTCACGGGAATCAGCCAGCTGGAAGCTCGTGGGACAGGTTTGGCCCACTGTTGGTGGTGGTGTTTACTAAACTCTGTGTTTGGAATAATTTATGATTTACAGAAAAGTTGAAAGGACACTACGGAGAGTTTCCCATATACAGTTCACAGGGTTTTTCCATTATTAACATCTCACATTTCTGTGGCACGTTTCTGTGGAAGATACTGGCAGCGGTACTAAGTTTATTTAGATTTCACCATTTCCCAGACTTTATTTAGATTTCACCATTTTTTCCATTAATGTCTTTATGTTCTAGGATCCAATGCAAGGGACATGATGCGTTTAGTTGTCATGTCTCCCCAGCCTCCTCTGGTCTCCACACAGTGTTTTTATTATTACCATTTAAATTTCGATAGCCAGCATTAAAAAATCAGGAGACCCCTCCCCTGATCCAAAACTGCGGTTTGCATCGTCGGCATCATTTTTTGTCTTTCTGTATTTGAGAGTCTAGGTAAAGCCCGAGTTTAGTCACATGTGGCAGTCAATTCCTTGAAATGTGGCTGAGGAGCAGACTTTTAATTTTATTGGACTGCATAGTTCCAGGGCCTTCTTGATTGTTGGAAGTCAAACTGAGCATAACTGGTTAGGCCATAGCACCCGTGGAATTCTGCGTTAATAAGCTGTTCTTTCTAAGCCTGCCGCCATTTCCTGTCAAGTAATACCCACTAGTGCTGCAGCTCACGTGGTACACTGTGTGAAAGCTGGATTTTTGGAAAGTGTCATAAATTAAATTCTTGACCAGCTTCCTCATGTACAGATAACTAGAGGTTTATTTCTTGGTGCAGCGGATACATGATTCACCTAATAATAATGTGAACTAGTATAATGAGCGGCAATGCATTTCTTGAAGGTGTTCTTGCCTTGTGACTTGGGCTTTGAAAAACTGTAAAAAGCATGAATAGTTGTTATGTTTGAATATTGAAGTATTTTAAAATATGTATATATATTATGCCCCTGGCCAGGTAGCTAAGTTGTTTAGTGTCGACACCAAGGTTGCGATGCGAGTTCAATCCCAGTCAGGGCACATACAAGCATCAACCAGTGATGCATAAATAAGTGGAACAACAAATCCATGTTTCTCTCCTTCCTCCCTCTCTCTAAAAATCAATAAACGAATGTTTTAAAATGTATATTATTGCTATTTCCTTGAAACAGCAGAGGAGTGAAGTGTTGAAAAATTTACAGTGAGGTATAGGAATAGATGGATAAATTTAAGGTGCCCCATGGCCTATATAATGTAAAGGCAGGGAAGGAGTTACTGTCCTTTCTTCAGAATGTCCTTGGAAACTTGGTTAAGAATAAAGGTCATTTTTTAAAAACAGCTTTTTAGCTTTGACACTGGCTTGCTTTGGAAGCATGCTGATCGTACATTCCTTATAAAAGAATACACACTGATGCCTTAGCTGGTGTGGCTCAGTTGGTTAGAATGTTGTCTCATGCACCAGGAGGTGGCAGGTTTGATTCCTGGTCAGGGCACATGCCCAGGTTGCAGGTTAGATCCCCCTGTCGGGTTGCGTATGGGTGGCAATCTGTGTCTCTCTCTCTTTCTCTCTCTCTCTCTCTCTCTTTCTCTCTCTCTCTCTCCATCTCTCTATAAAGCCCGTTCTTCCTCTAAAAATAAATAAAAATAGATTTACCTAAAAAAGAAAGAATACACATTGATAATTTTTGACAGCTAATATCTGTCTGTCATCATTCCAGTGCTTTCTTCAGGTGACTGCATAAGTGAGCTATATTTCAGAGACTGACAAATCCCAGCATTCCTGAAGGAGAGGAGGTGCTTGGGATTGACGCAGCAGTAGAGAAAAACAAAGATTTTTTTGTTTGCTGGTGGTCACATGGGGAAGCATTGTTTATTACTGTTGTTTCCTTCTGAATTAAAAACTCATGAAAATTGAATCAATATTTAAAACCTATTTTTGTTCTTGCCACAGGTGGAAACCATTATTCTTACTCAGTTCTACTCTTATAATTTTTATAATCAAATACAATTTTATTGCTTAAATCCATTGATCTAGGGAGGGATCAAAATACTAAACTTTTAAGTCGGGAGTCATCCTGACAGCTAACTGCATATACTGTGTGCCTTGCACTGTGCTTTATATACTCCATTTAGTCAAGGAAAATATTCTCAATGTTTAATTACTAATAACAAATGGGTCCTGGCCGGTGTGGCTCAGTTGGTTGGAACATCATCCTGTACACCAAAGGGTGGCAAGTTCGATTCCTGGTCAGAGCACATGCCTAGGATGCGGGTTTTTTGTTTTGTTTTGTTTTTAATATATCTTTATTGATTTCAGAGAGAGGAAAGGAGAGAGAGAGACAGAGACAGAGACAGAAACATCAATGATGAGA